ATACTTTTTCCTCTGGCTTTCATAGTGGATACACAGTTAAGAAATGCAAATTCTGTTAGAGTCTTACTTTTTTATTGTATCCCTGTCATGACGATTATTTTATTATATTTACGATAGTTTATTATAACTTTTATCACTTCGAGAATAAATAACTATTGGTTTCTGATTGCTTCGAATATAAGCATTGTGTCATCAAAGAATTTCTTATTTCTATTAATTTGTCATTAATTATTTTTCACTATTTTTGGTTTTTATTAAACATTAATGTACAACAGAATCTTTGTAAATAATTCACAATATGAGTTTCTAAGTGGTTAATTTACGAACAGACCATCATCCGAAGAAAACGAGGTGGAATATAAGTTATAAGTATGGTCATCTTGAACCGCATTTCTCATAACTTTCCCATCATTTCCGGGAAAAGTGACAATTACATTTTTCGTTCCTTAGGATGCGCAAAATCATATTGTAAAAAAATTTTCATTCCGGTCGTATGCCAAAATTGGCCTTTTTTTAACATCCTCCTTTCTCGCGCTGCGCCCTTGGCGCCTATAAGCGTTTTGAATATATTCTCGCGCTGTGACCTTGGCGCGCCTATAGGCGTTTTGAATATATTTTTGCGCTTCGTCCTTGGCGCCTTTTGTCACACTTTCACCTTAATTTAACCCTTAGTTTTGCGTATTTCTACTTTGGTTTAATGAAAGGAATGCTAAATTTTAATTTAAAAATTTTTAAAAAATTTTCAAACTCAAAAATGAGCGATTTTACGACCGCGTTCAAACGTCTGTCGTTTGTCACGTGTGTTATATACCGAAATCTATCGCAGCGGAAGGGTTAAAGCGAAATACTCTGTAAACTAATAGAAAGGCCAACGTCCAATCACGAGAAAAGCAATAAATACATTGAAAAATGGGTCGACGAATTGGCAGTCTTTGCAATATCGTTCTCTTCCTCTCCTCTGTTTGCCGTTTTTGGGAGAGGTGTCGATGCGATAGGGTCTCGCAATTACATCGTTCTTCCTTTTCGCCGTGGCAGTCGTCGTTAGTGGTAGTATATTTACCGCGGTGTTTGACATTGCTTGCGATACACCGTAAATAGGGCGCAGAAATGTAGGTCGATCGTTAAAATTCTCATTTAAAAATCCCGTAGCTGTGGCGAGAGGAACATGTAAAGAGGGGAAAGGATTATACGAAAGAGCAGGACAAATATGAAGGAAGAAGACAAAAAAACAGGCAGGGATAGACGAAAAAGAACAGGTTCTGATAGTCCAATGGATCTATCTACCCCGCGTGAAACGACTTATTAATTTTCCCTTTCATTCGAGACACTAGACGTTCATTATTCCAAATCTAGCCTAGTGTAACGTTACATTGTGTGGTTCAAGTTCGATTAGTGTTAACAGAACGTGTAATCAACTCAAGGTTTTATTAGAATACCGGCGTTTCAGTTTGAGCGTGGGGGAAGATCGATACGACGATAATCTGCTTTCGTTTTCGTATTGTTGATTATGTAAATTACGCAATCCTTCGAATTATATAGAGTTTGAAAAATATTCCTGTCGAAGTGGAAAATAATATTAGACAGTATTCTTCATTTGCTGCGATTTTACTACAATCATGGAAAATGTTATATAGGGTGAAGAGATTTTTTAGCAAACTTAATTTTTAATTATTGTTATTTATGCAATGAAGGAATTCGGTGATATTTTATCAATTTCAAGATGAAATTGAATTGTCAAGACTATAAAGAATGATGGAAGATAAGATTTAGTAGATTTTCTGTGGTAGTAAATTAGGTGTCTATGATAGCTTTGGTGGCTTATAAAAAAATTAGAATCAGCAGATTTTCTGTGGCAATAAATCAGGTATCTATGATAGCTTCGGTACCTTAGAAAAAGAAAATTAATCGTTTCTTTCTATGGACCATAACGTGTCTAATTATTTAAGCTAAACTTTCTTTGTTATATAAATATTATTTAGGCAATAATTGAAATTAATTTTTGCATTTCTATCTAAGTAAATTTTGTTCAATGAATAACTCAGTTAATTGCAGTGGGACAAACATAAGTGGACACTGCGTTG